TACTTTTTCTATTGGATGCTTATAAAAATCGCAAAATACATACATACATACATATGTATGTACATTCAGGTGCTCCAAAAAAAGTTCGCGTGAGTTCGGGGAACCTTCCAACTTCCGTTCCGTCATACCGAAAGAGGTACTGATACTAAACTTTCATATTATCAGGAATATGGGCTTTTTCCTTGCCCTTTACAATTAAAGGTAGAAAAGGCAAAAAAAGGCTACATGAAATGTGTATACATATGTATATGGAATCAGAGAAAGCTAAACCGTGAACATTCTTAATCGAATATACTCCATCCCTCTAGCAGAAAAAAAGGCAATTTCCATAAAATCCGCTCCCTGGTAATGAGTTTCTTGGTATTTTTTTAAGCTATTATTTATGTATGTATGTATTTATAAACAAACGTTATTTTGTACTTGAAAAAAAAATTTAAAAATGCTTTGGAGCTTAATATCGCACAATGAATTAATTTGGCAATGACTGAATTTTAATGAATAGTTTTCGGTAATATGTAAAATTTATCCAATTTTAAATTTTGTCATACCTAACAATTTTTTTTTTTTTAAATTTAAATTTTCTCTCAAGACCTTATTTTATACATAGAACAAAATAAGAGTGTCCCATAAAAAATCTATATTTTCATATTATTTGCAGACCCCCCCCAAAAAGGAAGGTTTGTATATGTTTTCAATTGTTCAGTTTCAATCGATTTTTTTTTTCAATTACTCCAACAAGTCATTTAAACAAACAATTTTAAAGACAAGCTTGTTAGTGGTTAATAAAAACAGAAAACTCGACCTCCGCACCACCTAACGGCTAAATATTTTTTGTAGTTTTATTCCTTTTCATGTAAGAAATATATGTATATTTGAAATGTAAACGGGTTGTACGGGTTTTATAAATATCTCGATACCAGCGCCACCTAGGAGATTAATTCATCTTTCATATTGCATTGTCAACGGGTTTTGAGCTAAGTTTGAAGTTTCTAGTATCTAACTCATGTTGAAGATGGTTAATAAGTGATTGCAAGATTTGATTACACACAGGCGAAACTTATTAAAAGCTTGTAATAAACATGAATTTCCGAAAAGCACTAGTACCACCCTAAGAAACTGTTCCACAGATAGACAAACAAAGATTAAACTCTCACTGATTTTTACATAGAGAGTGGTGTTTAGAAATTTTCATTAAGAATGAGTTCAGCTCAATAAAAAGATTCCAAACAACACCACTCTGTGTCTGTCAAAATGTAAAAATGCTCCAATCGCTTAAAGTGAACATTTGAAAACACATTTACATATCGTGGCTGTAGCTGAGTGCGCAGAGATGCTTGCTACTATTGGTTGTGCTGTCAGGAGTGTCCGAGCTCAAACCCCATTGGCGGAACATAAAATTTTTAATATTTGTTTTTAGGTTTTTCTTAATTACGAAAACGCATCCGTGAAGTGCACAACGAAATCGTATTCAAACGAAAAATTTTATTAACATTAAAATGTAAATGAACTAGTTCAAAACCAGATACTAAAGAACAATTGACCGAAAGTTCCCTATTTTACTGACGCGTAGTCTATCAGACACAAATTTTCCAGATCAAAATATATAGGTATGTATGTTAGATATTTATTAATAAACTTTTTTTCGTTTTAAAATGGAAATTCTATCAATATTTTAAATACATACATACTCATTAATGAAATAGTCATATAAAAAAACTATGGCTGCGTTTCTTTATACATTCCGAATAATCCCATTTCACAGCCGGAATAAACAGAATGCGTTTGAAATATACGTTAACATATCATCAGGAACGTTCTAAATTATAAGTAAACGAAAAAGTTTATTCCAAACGTTCAGAATGAATAAAGAAATGCAGCCTTTACGTCGAAAAAAAGGCGTTTTTAGTAATCAATACTATTGAGCTCAGCAAAAATGTCGAACCTTCGGTGTCTGTCAGACTACCACATCAGTCGCAGAGGGTTAAAGCTACCCTGTAGCAATTCGGACTCAACCTAGGCTAGACCTCGGATAGTCCATAAAGTTACCAGTACTAGTTTCTCTGCTAATGGTTTCAAATGTCATTTTTAACATTGGCGTGTAATTGGAAAAGGACCAGTCCAACAACTCCTGTAAGATGTCCTACCAAAAATGTTGAATTAATAAACGTTTGAAGAACGTATGAATGTTATGTGTCATACGTACATACATATTTCACGTGGAACAATGAACCCTTATAAATATGCAACTTAATAAATTGTGTTCGTATGCATTTCGAAATTTTGTGGATAGTGTTGCCGTAAACTACGCACTTATCATGTAAAAAGCAAGGTGTGTTTATTCATACGAGCATAATATGTACATTAGCATGGGCCGAAAATTCGCTTTTTTAGAATTTTGATTGGCAATAGGAAAACTATGGTTCATCATGCTCTAAAAACAATCTGTGTCAAAGATGACAATTTTTGGTCAATGACTTAGGCTCGCCCAAGTCCATAAAAGTTCAAGTGCTAAAAAAATATCTTAGCTTATATTACGTTCAAATTGGCCCCATTTAACTTGTTAAATGAAAAAGAGCTTTTTGGAAAACACAATCGTCCACATTGAACATTTGGAGTTAACTTTGACGGATGTTTGGTTACCAATAAAAATTCTAAAAAAAAATATTCAAAATCAAGTTTTTGTGTTTCAATTTGTTTTATGCGAATGTCTGCTTCATGATATTAATGCATACGGATTATTTAGGTACTTCAAAATGTTTAGTTCGTATACCCTATTTATCTCTGCGTACGACGAGACCTGATGGGAAATAACTAATTACCGCCTTGGCCTCTTTTTTGGCGGGCGGACATGCATATAATTTTGATAATTTTTAATTTTTAATATTTTTCAGAATATAAATTTTTTGAACGTTGACGTGTCAAATGAAAGCTTTTGGGTATTTCTGATTGGTCAGAGCAGAAAGCTTTCTGATACAACTCTGCGCTGAACTGGTTTTCAAACGAGTTAAGTGATTTAACTGGTTAAATTTTCCAACAACAATTGCATGCATATGAGCATGATGAACGATATTTTTCCTATCACCAATCACAATTCTAAGAAAGCGAATTTTCGGCCCATGAAAATGTACATAGTATGTACACATTTTAATACAATGAAAACTGAGAAATGTTATCGCTAATAATTTACATATACGTGCATACATGCATACATATATATGTGCATATGCGTTGAGATATTCACCCCCCCTATGCTGTAATCCGTCATAGATTCGATTTTGTTACGAATCGTAAAATTGGTATGCTGAAATCCGCGTTGTCGTATCGTTATTTCGAAATTCGTAGGCCATCTTCGAAATTCGTAATGTTGGTATGCCTGAATCCGACGTAGGTGTCATTTTTATGTATTTTTCGGAAATTTTTTTTTTATGTTATGTTATGTATGTTTTAAAATATCAATAAAATAAAGTGTGTAAACGCAAAAATATGTATGTAAATTGAAGTGTGAATAGAAAAAAAAAAATTTTATTAAATGTTTACAAAATTATCAGATCGAAGATCATAACAAATCGCTCGCAATAAGAAAAACTGGTGGAATGCATGAGTGAAAGGCCGGATATTGGTCGAGGCTTTGTAAGAGGAGCTAAAGAGGATGTGGTGGAATTTTGGGAAAGAGTTCCAAGAATTAAAGCGGCACAATATCTAGTGAAATGGAGGCTCTTAAAAGGAGGGAGCATACATTTTATCATTTAAGCCAAATGAATCAGGCATCTCCTTTCATCTGTTAGCTGTTCTTCCTCCTCGGACAAATGTGCACCGGCCACTGAATCCTTTGTATTCTACTTAATTAAGGAAAAGTCTTTTCGAATAATGATTGAACTAAATTTTTTAATTACGCTATTCACTTTCGATTATATTTATTTCGAGTTGTTTCTGTAAAAGCAGCTGATGAAGAACTTCGAATTTCAAGTTTTTAGCTGGCAGTGCCACTGATAGGTTACGATCGAATTACAGCATACCAATTTTCGAATTTTCGGAACGGAGCTACGAACTCGTAACTGCGAACATTCGGATTACAGCATATGGGTGATTATCTGAAAAGAAGCACTCACGCCGGCAACACTGAAGCAACTGAAAAAAATAAAACGCAGAAGTCAATCGGTCCTTAAGCACGAGCAGTGTGACCGTTTGATCCAAGAGGATCAAAAGTGATTCATATTTTGATGAATTTTGGAGGGACACTTCTTTTTAAATTTTCATACTTTTCCCATCGTGTAAAAAAATTCCCGTAGAATTCGAAAAACCTGCCTGAGATGTTTACAATTTCTTCGCACATAGTGCTAAAAAGGTGGAGGAATTCGAAATCATAAAATTTTTCGAGTGTCAAACGTTCGCTGGGTATCGCTGAAGCTAGCTGTTGATCGTTTACTGTCCCAGTGGAGCGCTGCAATTATTTTTCATATAATAATAACAATTTTGAAAGTAACTATTAACTTATAACTACTAACTATATTAACTAAAGAAAAAATTTGTATACAATGGCAACTTTTGAAATTCGATAATAACACAGATTGCGTTGAAGTAAGCAAGGGGGGTAAGCAAGCTAAAAAATGCTTTAAATAACTTTTTATATTTCGACCTAACTTCTTTTATTTATAACTTGTTGTGTTTGCTGCAGAGTGCATTTTCTCAGATCTGAATTTGATCAAAACATATAGAACAAATCGCTTCACTTTGCCAATGGTGGAATGCATAATGTTTTCGAAATGCCTTAAAAATTATTTAAAAATTTGAATTCTGAGCCCTATAGTACAAAAAGTATTTAAACTAAAATTATGATCATATATACGACATGTTTGCTGTTTTTATTATACAGACACCCAGTTGAACTCATACATACATATATCTAAGACATTTTCTTTATTATTATTATTATACTAGTACCAGGTACAACTGATACGTGTACCTTTTTTGCAATCAATAACTGTTAAATCGTTTTGAAAAATGGTTTTTCATAAAAATTATTGGTTTTATTCCATATTGATACTTTGATGCTTAAGATAAAAAAGTGATACATTTGATACATTTTAAGTCTCTGCTCTGCTACAATTTTTTACAAGCCCGCGGTCACACTGAGCACAAGACAGGGTTGCTGATTCATACTTGCATGTGTATGCACATTTATTGTTGTTTATGTTTGTTAAAACATCACATTTCGTTCCATTCCCATGTCTACCGGGCCAGTCCAGTAATGAAGCTGAATATCGTGCTGACGTAAAGTAAGGTAACATGTAGTCAGTGCATGGACTTCAAAAAATTAATATTGGTTGATTTTATATACAAAAAATTGTCAAAGTTGGTTGTTATTTTTTTTAAGAAATAAGGTGGTGTTATCGGAGCAGCTGGATTTTCGCCTCGGTGGTTCTTAATCTCAAAATGATGTATTTATGTATTTCTTACTGCAATTATGCGTAGTAGGAGTAATTTTTGTTTCTGTACTCCTGCTATAAGGTTGGAATAATTGTCTTTTTTTTATAAAAGAACAAAAAATGTATTTCCCGCCAATAAAACATTTAACAAAAAACCTATACATAACACTGGGCCCGAATCATGGCATCCGTGATCGAATAAAACTCGGGTTCGAATCGAATAAGCGAGCGCGCTATCAAATGCCGTAATCTCTTTAACATCACGGATGCAGTAATTCAGGAACTTTATTAATTTAAAAAAGAGCTCAAACAATTGCATATCTCCACTTCAAAGTTTTTTGATTAAAATTAGATTTAAAATGCTTGAAGTTTGCAGACCATTCGTTTGGCAGTCCTACACAATAAAAACGAGTTGCAAACGAAAAATATTTACATACATAAACAGCTGATAGAGATGCAATTTCACTTTTAAATTGGTTATGGTCAGAATTAACTTTTTATTTTTATTTTAGCTGTGTTCGATGACAAAATAAAATCCCTTTCTTTCCTTTGTTGGTAAAAATGATAGAAAATAAAATACAGCTAAAAAATTGGTAGATCTATCAATAAAGTGGTAAGTCCGTGCACTGCATGTAGTACATTTGTACTATATGTATGTATATATGTATGTAAGTACGTTGGTAAAAATGTTAGTAGAAATAAATGACTGAATGAGAAGCGTATGCACTTAACACATCAAGAGCATTCATTTGCCCATACATACTTACTTACTTACATACCTATTTAATTTGTAGTTAATAGTTTTTAATGCAAACTGTTCTTAATATTGTATTTTTCTTCTTATATTGATCTGATAAGCAATGCAGCTAAGACATGTTGTTTCACTGTTGACAAAAGCGCACTAACTGGATACAAGTGAATTTTCTACATTTTCATACATACATAAATATGTAGTATGTATACATTGTATTTGTGTATGCACTTTACAGCATTTTTCATCACGTACCCATCCATTTAAGAATGTGGAGCTATGGTGAAGGTTATATAGCACATGCGCAAAAATTATTTTAACCAGGGTGGTGGTACATCGTTCATTAAATGTACATATATCATGCATGCATACATACATACATATGTACATACCCACTAGAACTTGAAGGGAGATCTCCCAATGTGAGGAATAAAAGAGTACTCCCTTTGACCTGATTTCGGAGCAATACGAGAGATTTGTCGGTTTTGACCTCTTTTGTAACTCCTTTAGGAGTCAAATAGGATATCTCCTAAGTGAGCAACAAAAGAATACTCCCAGAGACATGATTTCGGAACAATAAGCAATATTTGTTGATTTTGTACTCCTTTATTACTCACTTAGGAGCCAAAAGGGAGATCTCCCAAATGAGCAATAAGAGAATACTCCGTGAGGCATGATTTCAGAGCAATTACTGAGATTTGTCGGTTATGTACTCCGTTATTACTCGCTTACGAGCAAAAAGCGATGTCTCCTAAGCGAGCAATCCAGGAGTATTCCTTTTGATCGATAGGGGAGCTATACGCACCTCGTTCCAAACCATTTTGTGTTTTTGGAAAAATGTATTATGAAGAAAACAAGACAGATATGTAACTTATACGCACATATGTAAATACATAATTGTTATTGAAAAATAAAAGGAGGAAATAATAAAATAAATTGGGCAGCCCACATTAAGGTCCATCGGTATGTATGACAAAATTTGTTTAAACTTATTAATTATTTCATTATTTAACTGAAACTGCATTTCAGATGGCGGTGTCAGCGCTTAAAATGATCGAATTCTTACGTTTCTTACCCTGTTCAGTCCAGAACTTTTATTGGGTTCGAAATCAATTAGCCATTAATAGCCTTTGTCGTTAAGGGATGGTGAGTTCTGAGTATGCAAATACCTTCAAGTATTAGTTTTAGTTTCGTCTGGCATGATATTTATCAAAATAAACGGCATTTGACAAATCGCCTAGGTCTGTATGTGGTAATCAGAATTCTCTGATACCTGCTGAAATCGTCCGGAAGTTTCGTTTCTGTGGACTCCCAGGTGAATACCAATCCCAAACATACCTTCATCGTACCGTTTTAAGTTTATAATCTTTAGCTTTCATAAATTTTTCTGTACTATTATTTAGTAAGCATTATTTTGCATGTTTTACATGTTTATTATTGTAAGGTTTTATATTAATGTGCGCATGCGATAAAAAATTAAATAAACGGATTTCGTAAATAGCAAAATCTTTTTAGCTTATGTAATGGATCGTTAAGGAGCAATTAAGGAGTACTCTCCTACTACTCCATGAGGAGGAATTGGGGAGTATAGAAACCTTCTTTTATTACTCGTAAAGGAGGTTTGCGGGATGACTCTTATGGGAGTACTCCCGTATTGCTCGTTTGGGAGGAATGTGGGATGTTTTTCTTTGTGCACTCCTTTTTTGTCTTTTTGGGAGGTTTCTGGGAGGTTATTCTGTGAGTACTCCCGTATTGCTCCCTTAGGAGCTTTGTGGGATGCTATTTATGTGTGTGCTTCCCGATTGCTCGTTTAGGAGGTAAAAGGGATTACTCCCCCTCCTAGGACATACAATGTTAAAGGGAGTATACAAAATTACATGCTTATACACAGAAGCATAGGGAGCAATGGGGAGTATTCGTATGCTCCCAAGGGAGTACTCACCGAGCAATCGTACGATGCTCCCAAGTTCTACTGGGTATATACATACATATGTATGAATTCGCTACATGTGTGCTTATGTTTTTAGAATATGTACATAAAAACGTCATAACAATCGCAGCCGGAAAAATACAAAGATTAGATGTACTACATACATATGTACATGTATGTAAGTATGCAAATCAAACCGTATAACGTTGTGTGGACCGAAAAATGTTCAATTTGTTCCAAGCGTTTTTGAACTCTCTCACTATGAAAGTATTTTTTTGGCACCCTGTAAAAACAGTTGAATAGGTTCCTCTAAACTATTTAAATTTTTAAAAATTGGAAATTAAATTTTATAATAATTATTGATTAAAATTTATATTTTTTTACTAAATTTAAAAGTTGAAAACTGTTGGTCGGACGGCATTTGCTCAGAGGAGCTTTTTTGTAGAAAATTTCATTCCCTAAAAAAGCTGTACACTCGTTTTTCCCAACAAAACTTTTAATACCGAAAAATCGAATTGAAACCGGAAACAAAAATTTTCCCGTGTTATTTATATACATATGTACAATGTGAAACCGAATTCTTGAAAGAGCTAGCCTGTAATGCATTTAATTTTTTTTCAAAGGGCCTAATTTTCTTATTTTCTATGAAGTATCAGATTTTAAGGTAGCACAGAGAAATAAATAAATATATCATATCTACATATAAGCAATATGTGAAGGGAATATGTATGTAGATGAAGAAAATGATAAACATAAAGGTAAAAACAAAAATAAATATTAAGAAAAAGATGACGATGAGGATACCGATAAAACTAAAGATGAAGAGGAAGAAAGATTAAAATAAAGGTATTTGTAACGAAAATGATATATGTACATAAATATGTAGACAGAGACACAGAGACTCAACCTGGGATCAATTTTCAGATTTTAGAAAATTTTGAGATTCTCGGGACTTATCGATATAACAATCGATATTTTTGTCGATTTTGTTTTTGATATTTCTATCAAATTTGCTATCGATATTTTATCTTTTTATATCGATTTCGTTATGAGTATTTTATCGAATTTGTTATCGAGTTATTTATCGATTTTGTTATCGATTTTGCTATCGATATTTTTGTATCGAATTTGTTATGGAGATTCTATGGCATCATATCACAGAACATCACATGATATGACGTCATTTGACATCCTATCACATCACTTTACCTTACATTACATCACATGAAATCGCATCACATTACACCGCACTACCTGACATCACATGACGTGATGTCTAGACACATCATCTACGTGAATATGTAGACCAAGAAAAGGTTAAAAGCAAAAATATAAAAGATAAAGACCAAGGTAAATTTAAACACTTTACTTGTATAAGAAAAATACAGTATAAAGATAAAAATAAATATAAAGGAAAACAGAATAACATAAATGTAATTAGAACGAAAAGGGTAGAGAGGCAGGCATCTAGTTAGAAAGAACATAAGACATAACCTTTAGGAAATGTATATTGATTATGAGACCAACTAGATATGTAACGTAAGTTTCACTTCTCCAGTGTGGCCGAGGCGCACTCACTTACTTTTTAGGGAAGCCAATGAGCAGCACCTTGCTTTATTATACTCAATTTTAATGAGCTAAAAAACTGCAAATCAATTTTTTTCTAAAGATTCTGATTTTGATGAAACTTTGCAGAATTA